AATAACAGGATGATCACATAAAATTGGAAACAAGGAAAATAATAAGAGGAAAAAGAAGCTCACTGACATCTATTGCTGCTGCAGGGGTAGCTTGTAATACTGTCCTATCCCTAGAATCCCGCTGCCACATACGAATCTGTAAACAATTGCAAATGATGAATGTCCAAGAGAAACAGCATAGTAATGAGATGAACAATATTATAAAACCAAAAAAAAAAATTTGCAGTATAGCTGTGATAGGCAACATAAACAGGTATTCCGCCAGTAGTACATAAGTAATCATTACCTGCATATAACGCACAACAGTACTTGTATAATCAACAGCCCTTCTTTGGGTAAGCTTTCTCATTCTCTTCGCACCATAGCCATCACCATGACCTATAAACATATTTTTCATCAAATAAAAAATCTAAAAAATTAATACAAATAATTATAAAAATGCAAACATAAGATTTTCAACAGATTCAACTGAACTTATACTCAACAAAGGAGAAGTATTATGACTTTAACGCCTTAATTCAAAGCAACGAAATATGATACAATTTTCTCAAACAGCGTCATGAATACAAAACGCAGTAAAAGAATACAGTTCTGTAAAAGAGGGGAACAAGGAAAATTAACTGAATTACAGTGTTGATATAGTTGAGAGGAGCAAGGGAAGAACGTAAAAATAAAGTTCAACACAATACATAGTAATAGCAAGTTAACCTGCCACGTCCGTTGAATTCCATAAGAAACAAAACCTAATATATATGGGCGCAGTGCCAAATTCAGGCATGTCAGGGATTCTATCACAAGAAATGAGGTAGGTTCACCAAATAACGGCAAGCATTCCGCATTCAGACAACCTTTCCTCCCTATGAGCTATTAAAACCTCTCAAGTCTAGCAATTATTACAAAAAGATCCTTCAAAGTTTCAAGGTAAGGCCTCATAATACAAATAATACTTCGGCCAGGCGAAAGGCATGAATTTCCAAATCAGACATCATAATACTTCGCTCTCACAACTCAGAAGCAACATGCTCAAATAACTTCCTAATATTTCGATTGGCTTGGCCAAATGCGGGCTTTTTATTGGTACCCACTGGCATCTTATTTTCATACTTACAAGTATACTTCTACAAGATATCTTATATTACAAGCTGACTCAATGAATTGTAATACATTTCCAAGAAAATCAAAAAAAAAAAAAAAAAGAATGACCCACTAGGATATAATTGCATGGATAGATTAATGTCCGAAAATCCTCGAAGCTTACCATCGTAATGTGGTGGAGGACCTCCAGCAGCGGGGTGGTGAAACTCCGGATTTATATTCGTGGAGGAAGCAGAAGGATGGCGGATCATCTGTGGCGGCGGCTGCTGTTGTTGTTGCTGCGGTGGTCCCCTGAGAAAATCCGCTTCTGGCTGTTGCTGATGAAAATGTTGCGGTGGCGGTTGTTGCTGGTGCTGGTGCTGGTGCTGGTGCTGGTGCTGGTGAGGATCATTGTACACCATTGTAACTGAGCAGTATCAACAAAATTGAGTTTTGATAGGTTGAGGACAGAATTGTCGGGCGCGATGCCAGGCACAAAGCAAAAGCCCTAAACCCCTAATTTCCTCGTTGGGGGGAAAAAGGAGGAGCGGGAAAGTAAGGTGGGGTCCATGGATTTTCGAGGATGATGATGGTAAAATCGTCATTTCCCTGTATCGAGAGATTCGGCTTGTATAGCTTGCAAAAATTTAAAAAAAAAAAAAATACACAGAGATTCAGCTTGTAATGTCACCAAAAAGAATTAGAGAGGCTTAGGCCTGATTTGAAATCACTCGTGAATTTTTCAGTCGGGGTTTATAAAATACTACTTCCGGTTTTAATTATAAGATTTTATTTATACTAATTATAAATAAAATTTTATAATTAAAACCAGAAATAGTATAAAGTAAAAGTTTTGTGATTTTTGTTTTTATTTGTGTGAAACATATTTATAAATATTTAAAGTCAATCCAAGCACACTCAACTTGTAAAGACAAATTTAATTGAAGGTGAATAATTTTAAAGATTTTCAGGTTAAATTAGTCATTTGTATAATTAATTTATAAAGATTAGTTAAATTAATCATTTATACGAATTGTGTATTGATTTTTTTAAAATGTTTATTTAGTCACTTATATCAGAAACTACCCAAAATTAATTGATAAAAACCTCTTTTAGCATCTTCAATTTATGAGAATAATTTTAGGAAAAATTTATAAGATCTTGTTTTTAGTTTGAAACAAACCTTTCAACTGTGGTCCTGCATTTAGAATTAGAGCGGCAGTTATTTTTGTTTTTTTAGTCAAATTCTTAAGAAACGATGTCAAGATTAAAATGTTTTAGACATCAATTCTGTATTATATCCTATTAGCTTACAAGAGGTCCAAATCTTAGATTAATGTCAACCATTGGATATACATATGAAGTAACCACACAATAAATATTATTTAATAAGAAAATTGTAATAAGATCTCACCCAAAAGAATTAAATAAAAAAAATCCCTTAAAATCATTAAATATTATTCTGAAGTCTCAAGGAACCTTATTATAAGATATTTTATTTGTTTAATTACCAAATTGTCCTTATTTTTCTAAAATATATATTGACAATTGAAAGAACAGTAGTTAATAACTTAAAGTATAACAATTAACAACTATCACGGCAAATATTAACAATATATTTTCTTAGCGCATCACAAAAATGTAATACTTTAGTTATTAATATTTACTGCGATAATTATTAATCATTTTATCTTAAGTTATTAACCATTACACTTTCAATTGTCAATGCAGACTTTAAAAAAAAGAAAGAACAATTTGATAATTAAACAAATAGAATCTCTTGCAATGAGGTCCTTTAGGACTTCAAATTAATTTGATAATTTTAAGAGACTTTTTTGTATTTAATTTTCTTAAATGAAATCTTATTGCAATTTTCTTTTATTTAGTACTCCTCCGATCTTTAATATAAGACCCATTTAACTAATTTGATTAGATTAAAGAAGTTAGATAAGTTAGTTAATTATAAAAAAAAGTGATATATTTTTCCTAAAATACCATAATTATCTTTTTTAATACACCTTCTTCCTCTTCCACTTGATTATGGTTAAGGGAGTATTCATAAAGGTAATTTAGAAAAAAAAAATTATAAATATGAGAAATGGGTCTTATATTTAGGATCAAAACCAATTCAAAAATTGAGTCCTATATTAAAAACCAGAAGAATAACATGGCTGGGACAAGCACCCAAAGTTTTAGTAAGTTATGGGATAAATTATAAATATTAGTATTTGCATCTTTTAAATAAATCTTCAATGGACCTCACATTTAACATGTGCACATATGTTAGGCAAAACAAGTAAACATTATACTCTTCTAATACTTAATATAGGACCTAATTTTTGAATTGATTTTGGTCCTAAATATAAGACTTATTTCTCATATTTATTAATTTTTTTTTTAAATTACCCCTATAGAGACTCCCTCAACCATATCAAGTAGAAGAGGGAGATGGTTTCAAAAGCACTTTTTTGCAAAACGAGGTAATCTCCTCCACATATTTACTTCGTAATCCGTAAAAGCACTTCTGAAACCATGGTTTGGTTTCTATCCAAACACCCCCTAAAAAAGATAATTATAGTGTTTTAAGAAAAACATGTCATTTTTCTTATAATTAACTAACTTATTTAACTTTCTTAATTTAATCAAATTAGTTAAATGAATCTTATATTAAGGACCAGAAGAGTAAAAATAGTGTGTGTATATATATATAACATGTGCACACGTGTAATACTCTCCCTTGTTTATATATGGGTTCCAATTTCTTTGTTTTAAGTCAACTTTTTTGGCAACTTTCTTCTTTTTTTTTTTGCATATGTGAAAAATGACACGAAAAGCTTAAGACTTTCCTATATTTTTTCTGTTAATGTTTTTGCCAGCATTTATACATTGAGTTTTTTTTTTTTTGGCGCCAACATCTGTGTGTGGATATACATGGAGTTTAAAATTGGCCAAAAAAAAAAGTACGTGGAGTTTAAAGTAACTGAGAAATGGGATATGCGGACCTGGGAAAGCGGGCTGGCAGTGCGGATACGGGCCAGCCCGCCGCGGTGCGGGTTGAAGTAGCCCGCACCTTGGCGGGCTGGCATTTTGCCAGCCCGCCTAAATTTTTTTTTTTAAATTTATTATATTAGTATGAGTTAAGCCTAATTTAAAATGTTGAAATTAGGCTCCGAGTTTTAAACTTGAGTAATGGATCCTAATAAAAAAAAAGAGAATTAATTTATAATATTAGAAGAAATTTAAGAAAAACTAACATATATATTTTTTATAAATAATTAATTTAACTAGTTTTCTTATCCAAATTAATTAAGTAAATCTTTTATGTGTGTGTATGTATGACTATATGAAAATCACATATTTATCTAATCTTATGAAGCCGTGCATACTAACGACAAATAGATATAAAAATAAAATATGGATAGTGCTCTTCATATAACCATACATATATATGAAGTGCTTAATTAATTATATATATAATGATATGGATGAGGTAATGTCCATATGAAATTTAATAGTCAAAATCATTTAACTATATTATATAATGTATTAAAAATCAGAAAAAGTAAAAAAAAAAAAACGGGCTGGCAGGCTGGCCCGCCAACCAGCGGGTTAGCCAGCGGCGGAGCGGGCCAAAAGCGGTGCGGGCTAGAGTAGCCCGCACCGTGGCGGGCTGGGAAAACATCAACCCAAGCCCGTCTTTTTTGGTGGGCTGGGCCTGCGGGCCCAGCCCGTATTACCAGCTCTAGATATACCACCATCTTGGAGAAATTTTTTAATTAAAATGAAAAATGTAAAAAAGTTTTAAAGATATTATCTGTCAAATATAAAAATTTTGAGAGAGTCAAAACCCAAAACGCGTCGAAAAGTCTGCGTATATTATTCACAACACGGTTCTGTTTCTCTTTCTTCTTCAATCAGATATTTCTCAACAAAAATTTCAAAACTTTCTTCTGTTTTCCCTCTCCTCAACCAACGGAAATTCCAGCTCCCTCTTTCTTCTCGTCCTCTGTTGCTCAACAATCTCTCTTTTCCTCTCTGCAAGAAAAAACCAAAAACCAGAGATAACGAAAAACAACAACGTATCATCATACGAATCAGATTTCAGCTCCTTCTTTGGTTTTCATCCGCTTCCTTACGTCGCCGTTCAATCGGTTTTTCTCGTTTTGTGTTGAGCTTTTTGTTTTCGTTTCTTCGTTGTTGAAAAGTCGTGGGGGTTTTCTTCGTTCCATTTTGCGGCCTTGCAGGTGAGAGAGAAAAATCTAATGCTGTCATTTTCTGAGATTCTTTTGCAATGAAATGTTATTGTGATTATTTTCGTGTTGATAAGTTTTCTGGTTTAGCTCAAGAATGAAAGTTTTTTTATTCTTTTGTCTTCAGGGTTAATGGCGGATCAGATGGATTACTCGTCCGGGAAGGCGAGGTTTACGTTCTTCAATCGTTCGCAAACGATGCATGCGAGCCACTCGGAGTCCTTTCAGAGACCCCTCCTTCAATCCAGTATTGATCGCACAGGGTCAATTAATAGATTCTACAGTCCAATGGAATCGATGAAATCCGCCGGAATTTCTCTCAGAGGGAAGGTCAAGAAACTATGCAATCTCTTCGATGCCCCGAAAACTTCGCCGAAGGGTTCTGATGAATCGCCCGTTCAATATCCCATTAAGCTTAAACCCACGAAATCCCTCGGTCATGATTCTCGGATTTCTTCGAGTTTCCACAGCAGCTCCAGTATCAGATTACCCGGGACAGAGGATAGAATCGTATTGTATTTCACTAGTTTGCGAGGAATCCGAAGAACATTCGAAGATTGCTACGTGGTTCGAAACATATTCAGGGGATGCAGGGTGTGGGTCGATGAACGAGACGTATCAATGGATTCAGCATACAGAAAAGAATTACAAAGTGTGCTTGGAGAAAAGAAGAACGTGCCCTTGCCTCAAGTGTTCATCGGTGGGAAGTACGCGGGAGGTGCCGAGGTGATAAAGTATCTATTCGAAGTTGGTGAATTAGCCAAGATTCTTGAAGGATTCCCAAAGAGAAAACCTGGGTTTGTCTGTGATAGTTGTGGAGATGTGAGATTTGTGCCTTGTATGAATTGCAGTGGAAGTAGGAAGATATTTGATGAAGATGAAGGCCTCTTGAAGAGATGCTCGGTTTGCAATGAGAATGGATTGATTCGTTGTCCAGATTGCTGTTCTTGAATTCTCTGGACAGCAATATTTGTTGCTTCCTCGTTTGCACATCTTTGGTAGTTGTTGAAGAATTAATCAAGTAGATTATTCCTACGGATGAAGAAGGTAAGGGCCTTTGCTTTAAGTATATGATTCAAAACACTCTTTTGAATTTCTGGGCTGCTCATGATTATCTTTTCAAGTCTCAACAGAGAGCTGATAGTCCTCAACACATTGAATTGCATTGTTTTGTTGTTAAAAGAGTGTGAGGGCTCATCAAAATGCTGAAGAAATATGTCTGATGTATTGTATTCTATAAAAAGTCTGGAGAGTATTTTCCCTCCACGCCAATGTAGATATTCAGTCGTATATGACTGAAAAAGATTTGCAAACATTGGCTGTTCATAGCGTATAATGAGAGTGACATATTGTAAATCTGTCCTTTTTAATCTGTTTAATCTTATATCTTTGTATTTGATTAATTTTATTACTAACATGGTTGCTTGTATCTGCTTCAGCATATGCAGAGTCTGATTCTATAATATTTGGTACTTTGGTTTGTATTTGATCATTGTCGGGTCCCGTTGGAAGCAATTTTTCCTGCAAAATTTTTTTCCTTGAGAAAATTCAAATACTTGACCTTTCTTAAAGAAAATCAAATTATTTCCCTTTTATCTAACTATGGTTGACAACTTGACATGCAGAATCTGACTTGATTTATCTTGTGCTATACTATCTCCGATCTTAATTATAAGATCCCGTTTATAAACTATAAACGGGATCTTATAATTAACACTGAAGATAATATTTACTATTGGCATTTCTATTGAGAAACTCGTTGGTGAATATGTTCAAGTAATTAGCTGCATAAGGATTAATATTAATTTCTGATCATTGGTTTTTCTACATGATAAGTTCTTAATTATTCACTGCCAAAAAAAAATTAGTATAAAGCAGAAAATTTATTACAAATTATAAATAGTGTATTTATTTAGAAAAATATGTGCAATGTCATGCAATTTAGAATACGAATCGAATACATTAACCAAGGTTATATGTTCAATCATGTACTATTGTGTAATAACAGTGGTTAATTTAATATTTTTGATTTCTCCAATTTTTTGAATGATTTTGAACTCACTTCATGCATTTTTTATAAGCAACTTTACATAAGTATTTTCTAGAAATTAATACATTTGTTTAAGATTTTATATACTACCTCCGGTCCTTATTATAAAATCCCGTTTGACTTTTTGTTTGGTCCTAATTATAAGATCCCAATCCATTTTGTCTCTCATATTTATGTATTTTTTCCAAGATAATCCTTTAATAATGATAGTTCTAGCTAATATACTTAATTAGCAAGGATATTTTAGGAATAACAACACTTATTTATTACAAATAACTAACTTAACTTACTTCCTTAATCTCCTCAAATAAGTCAACTGGGTCTTATAATTAGGACCGGAGGTAGTATTAATTATTTTGACAGATGGAATTAACGTTTGATTTATATGTGAGTTTATTATAAAAAGAAAAATACTTGTGTTAAATTCCTCTTGTCAAGAATATGATCATGTATTTTATTTTTTCATGTAAATTTATAGTTAAATTATATTTTAAAGATAGGATAAATGGCCACATATTATTAGAGAACTTAAATTAAATAATGGATGTAAACATTAAACAACTTACGTTTTTAATTACTTAATGTATTCTTTTTTGAGAGTATTTGGATGAAAACCAAACTATGATTTTAGAAAAAAATGTTATAGTATACAAAGTAAATGTGTAGAAGAGTTTATCTTGATTTGTAGAAAAAATATTTCTGAGGATATCCAAATACTCCCTTCATACGTTTAAGTAAAAACCAAACTATAATTTTAAAAATAATTTTACGATATACGAAATAAACATATAAGAAGAGTTTTGTCTCAAATTACATAAATATACTTTTTAAAAATGTTTTTTCATTCATCTAAACATAGCAAGAACTCCGTTGTAGACATGAATGCTAATAATGAAAACATCAAAATGTTATAATCCAACATCATACATATTCTTTCGTATGTGCGTCCATTAATTCTTTTCTTTTTAATTAATTAAGCCTTTTATTTGGTAAAAATCACATTAATAGAGTGTGTGTGTGTGTGTGTTTTCTTTTTAATTTTTTTTGCCAGTTTGTGAAAGGAAAAAGGCAGTGGGTTGAATATGATGAACGAGGAAATTAGTCCAATGCCATGGCTCAAACCACTGATCTAAGAGAGAAACAATTATTGTTGAGTAATGATGAAAATATACATTGTGTAATTAATTAATTAATTTTTTATCAACAAATTAATTCATTAATATAAGGATCTTGACGTCCTTTCTTCCACATCCACAAAAAATGTATGCTATTGCTTAGTGTTGAGGTCAAGTGCGAGTGAAGTACTGAAGTGAGATAAGAAGCTTCATTAAAAAAACCAAATGGAAATGTTAAAAGTGCAACAACAAAAAAAAAACATGTTTACCATGGTTTAATTTTTACTTTTTCTGATCTCAATTATAGGACAAAGTTTTAAAATCTTATTTAGTTCTGAATACAAGGCAACAATGCTGTAATTCATTTTTTTAGAAAGATTATAATTAGGTTGCAAGGAAGAAAAATAATTATAAAACGAGTTCTAAAGGTTGTTATTTCTTATTTTTGAATTTGTCATTACATTCTCCTTAGATTGCTATTGAAATTTTTTAGTGATTATTTTTCTTTCTCGGAACTCATTGTAATTTCCCCTTTTTATCCCCTTTTTTTGTTGCCAAAAAAGGGTACCGAAGTTTTTTCTCCAAGTAAGGGCTTACAAATGATTTCTTAGCTTCAACGTCATTTTTTTTAATTTAATTCATTTTCATTATATGTACCAAATGGTTATAAGTTTTCCATTCTAAAACCACATGAATGCTTTATTTTTATTTTTTTAATCAAATCCAAGTACTTGATAATTTCAAAAGTTTTTTCACGCCAGACTCTCACCCCAACAATAAGTATTACTCCTCCGGTCCTTAATATAAGACCCATTTAACTAATTTGATTAGATTAAAGAACTTAAGTAAGTTAGTTAATTACAAGAAAAGTGACACATTTTTTCTAAAACACCATAATCATCTTTCTTAATACCTCTCTCCCTCTTCTATTTGATTATGGTTGAGAGAGTATCTATAGGGGTAATTTAGAGAAAATTAATAAATATGAGAAATGGGTCTTATATTTAGGACCAAAACCAACTTAAGAATTGGGTCATATATTAAGGACCGGAAGATATTTCATTATGTGGCGCTGGCTAAATGAATGATCCGTTGTCATTGTGCTTTAGCAATAGCCAAACCTTTAAATACAATATTGACCAAAAAAGAAATGTTGTTCAATGCTCTTAGTCAAATGTTTTTTTCAATCTTAACCTATCCTTTTTCAAATGACCTCATTTTGAATGACAGACAAATTATGTAGTTGTACAATGAGAGGAAGAGAAATAGGGTTAAACCCTACGCGAAGTGGGGTTTACTCTTCTCTAAATTGCACAACTGCACTATGCAACAAATCTAAGACTGTAGGGGTGTTTGGCAATCTCCAAACCATGATTTCAGAAGCATTTTTCCGTAAAACGAGACAAATTCTTCCACATATTTACTTCGTAAACCGTAAAAGCACTTTGAAACTATGGTTTGGTTTCTATTCAAACACTTCCTGTGTTTGGGTGACACCCCAAACCATGGTTTGGAGAATAAATCACCCAAACACCCACCCAAAAACCAAAACCATAGTTTTGGAAAAAGCACAAATTTTTTGCTTTTGGAGAAAAAAGGGAGAGTGTGAGAGTCTATAGGATATGTATCTTATTATTTTTTTATAAACATATTTTTTTATAAACATATTTAATCTTATATTTTATAAATATATATATTAATTATTTATTAATTATATTATCTTATGTATTATTAATTATGTTAATAAAAAATATATTATTAATAATTTTATTCCTTCAAATTAAAATATATCATAAAATCTATTTTTTTTGTAATTATCATATTAACTTATGTCTTTTTTTAGTAATTTGTATATATAAAAAGTGCTTCTGATAACAACTATCTAAACACTCTCACTTCTCAAAATCATTTTTTCATAAAATCTATTCTTTCTAGAATCTATTCTTCCCAGAATTTATTCTTCAGAATCACTTTTCCAAATCACGGTTTGGTTTCATCCAAACACACTCTAAATCTGAGAAATCTTGCAAATTACTTTAGCAGGAAGGAGCAAGTGTTAACGAGTACCCACTATAATGCATGGGAAAAGGCAAGAAGGAGGAAACTTTAGAACCATCCCAAACAAGATCTATTAACAGTTCACTTAATTGTTCCTTCAAGTAATGTCTAAACAATAACGTACAAAAAAAGAAAAACACTATCTCCTATGGTACATGGCTCCAAAATGAGAGTTCAGTCCAGCTATTGAGTGAGAGGAAGACATTCAAGCTCAACTTCCAGCTCCCCTCTCTCCACATTCATCAGCTTTACAGATATTTCCTGTCTGATCTTCCCATCTTCGAGGGAGATGGCACCATCTTTAACGAGAGCGCCATCTGAACTTGCCACCCATTTTTCAAACTCCATGGACTCGTTGACTGCAGATTTCTCATAGGCTTTTGCAGCTGCAAGTAGGGGTTGGATGTCTATTTCAGCCTCTCCCATGAAATCATCAGTTGAGAATGTATCTTTGTCATACACATGCTGCACAATGAAACATGAATGCATGGCAAGGTGAAACATGGGTTAAATTATCAAGAAAAGGTTAAAATGGAACTGATTTTGGGGATAAGTGTTGCTTAGTTCAACTCAAAGCTTAGGTTACTAAGTACATACTACCTACCCAATTGATTAATTTGGGAAGATTAAAGAAGTTATTAAATTACTTTAATATATTTATATTTATCATTTTTCTCCAAACTAATTTGCTTCATTCATAAATTGATATATAATTTAATGATACATGCAACTGTTTTAAAGAGATCATATGACATATGCTATAATTAAATAATTTAGTAACTTTCTTAATCTCTCCAAATTAGTCAACTATGTCTTATATTAAGGACTAGAGGTAATATTTATGAATGATCCTCAACTAAGGTCTTGAGTTTGAGCTTGGCTTAAATCTAAATTAGTTGGAAGTATCAGACAAATACATGATTCTCATGCAGAAGGAAAAAAAAAATCATGAATGATCAAATTATAATCTCTAACACATCCTCTTACATGAAAGTCTTTTGGGCTTGAAGTATGGACAATGTACAAACTAGCCAAACCTTGTGATCAAATTTCAATAATCACAAAAAATGAAGGCAATGAAGATTGAACTTTCCATTTGACCACTTGATAATACAATTATGATGATTATACTAGCAAAACTAATATCATTCTTCTTTTGTGAATCTTAACAAAAATTGGTGAGCAATTGGACTCACCACTTTAAGTGGAGGAATGTTGTGCGGAATTGATAACATTAGGCTCTCATTCCAGACAGGATTCAAATTGTTCTTTATAACTCGTGTCTTTACTGACTGCAAAAAGAAATATTCAAAAAGTCACATTGTTAATATATCTCATTTCTCTTGTTTAAATGCATAATTGCAACTAGTTAAGAGGTAAAGATGCTCACTTGGTGACCCAAAGAAAGGATGACATAAGGATCACTAGTCATTACATCCCGGACAGCCAGGTTAGTGCCTTTGACCACGTTAACCTTTATCAACCCAACAAATTCCACCATACCTGCCTGTTAGAGTACATCGACAGAAATAAGATTCAGTATCAGTATTCAGATAATAAGTTAGTATTTTTTTTGTTTCAATATATAGAATAGGTATAAAATGGAAGAAGCCTAACGTAATTTATCTGGCTTATCTAGATTATGAAGCTGGAAGACATTTGGAGAAGGATTTCTCATAAGTCAGAATTAGGAATGTGAAGTTGTTGTCATGATTGTTCAGTCAAATGAGGAGACAAAAGTGGGGAGGGAATGCAATTTATGATAGCATCTTCATAGAAATGATTCCCTCAAAAAGATGGGAAGACAATTATTTGGTGGCCAGCTGACAGGGCCAGCATTAATAAAAGAAAAAGACCATACCAATGAGTTGCTCTTCTTTGAAGCCTTAATATTATCAGGTTCTTTTCTTCCCCAGCTGTTACGAAATGCACTCCCAATACGATTTTTGTTTCCTTGTTTATTATAATTTTTCTTGTCTATGCATGAGGAAGTGCTCTGTTGTGGTATAAAGGGGCAGGACAACTGTTCTTCACACCCCATAAATTGTAGCAACTCGTATTTCCTCCTGAGTAACCAAAATGTACATTCAATCATTCATTAATGAGAATGGTGAAAGTTCCTCAATAAAAACATATGTACAATCATTTGCTTCAATTACCTGATAAAGTCAGTACGCTCCTCAATGGAGGAACTTGGCTTTGGCTTTTTCATATAACTAGGGATGCAAGCTTCGTACTTTTCATTTACTGATGCATTTCCTCCTAACTTTGCCAGTTCAGAAACTTCATCATCTGTCCATTGATCTAGCTTCAATGATAGAACCTGCAATGGTAAGATCAGATTAGAATTTAAATTTGCAAATGACGCTGTAAATATATGTAAGCAGTATGTGGTAGGTACTAAATTCCGTTCAGATATCGTCATGAAATCGCCTTTTAGTATTAAGAGAACAAATTCTTATTGTTTTGTCCATTTATTCTTGGAAATGGTTTCAATAACAGATATTCATCAATTATATGCACTATTAACTCTTTAGTTCTGATGAGTGACATTCAACTTAATATCTAGAAATCTTAAATTATGATATCTATTCAATCTACCCAGCATTTTATCTTATTCATGTAAAGAGAGGTGCTACCATACAAACAAGAAAAAGAAGGGAGACCACAGGAAGGTGTATCACTGGTTATCACTTGACAAAGGGTCTTCAAAAACAGAGGATATAGATATATTTCCATATCCTCCTGTTCTGCTAAAGATACAGATTCCAGAGTCTAAAATCAGATGATGTTTCAAAGGGATAGATAATAGAAATTTTAAAGAGGCAATCATATCATAATTCTTAACAGGCAAGGATAAATTTATATCCTGCCAAATATTTGCAGATATGATTATGCGAGTCAACATTTAATTGGCCAATAAAGACTACATCCTTGAAAAGGCATAAGATGATATTGATACAAAGGCAGTTCAACTATCACTAAAAGACTCATTTACAAGCTACGTTGAGAACATACCTTTGATATATGAACTCCTAGGCTTCTATGTATGCCAGAACATTTTATGCAAATAAATGCTCCAATATTTGAAGATCTGATTTCCAAGGGGGAAAAAAGCAGATAATATCAGGTAATGTTTTCTCATAAAAGTAACTTCTCACTAAAACCTAAGAAATATTATATATTATCTATGTTATCACAACATTAGAGAGATTATTTTACCAACCAATCCAACACGTGAAATAAAGAGTAAGAAATTAAAGTCAATTCTCCAGGCAGCATAGTATACGAAGTGAAAAGGCACCAAGGAAATTGATTTCACTTTTGATACCAGAGCAGCAGAGAGCAATATGAACTACTGCCATTTTGTGTTGCCTTGTAATTTTGAGTGGTCTAAGACTAGTTATCTTGTTTTAAAACATACCTCAGCTGGATCCTAAACTTGAGGTAACAAATTCTTAATATAAAAATATGAATCGTGGAAGTTCTTGACCTAGGAGGAAACCGCTCTCAACAAGCAGCAAAATGGTTAGGAAAGATATTTCTAGAATTCTGTATAATCTCCGTATGCATATCCAAAAGCACATATTTCTGTCATGTTGAACAAATGGAAATTCTGTTCCAAGTGAAGTGCCAATAACCTTTTTGAAAAGGGACATTAAACTCACGGTTAATGCAGACAAGTAAGGAAAATTATTGTCTAGGATGAAATTTAAATGACATCAAGTCTGTAATCTGAGGTGATGATATTTAAACATGAGAATAGAAAAATCAAGGAGGCCAAATTCTGTAAGAACTAAGAATCAGTATGATACTTACACCCATTTTGGCTCAGGAGATCCACAATCAGCACAATACTTGTTCCCTGCTTCATGCATCAACTTCTCCAACCTTTCTAGAGGACCTATTAATTGGAAACACGAAGAAAAGGAATAAGATTTGACTTAAATTGATTATGTGTAAAAGATTCATGTAATAAATTTAGTCTTGAAAAAATAATAACTGAGGTCAGGATCAGAGGCGCAACACATATTACACATAATAAAATAGGCCCTTGAGCAGTTTTCATTTCCTGCTGCCTGCAATTCAATCATCGAATTGTACAACACTTGTGCATTACTTTAGGCTGTTGTACTATGCTAGGTCATCCATTGTGAAATTCAAATTAATATGATCCATCTGAATGGAGATAGTGCGGTGCGGTTTGACGGGAACTCCCTTGAAACTATATTCTAAATGAGTCTGAAGGTGTTTGACAAAAAAGGAAAAAGCATCACACGTCATTCTGAAAGTTGGCTTAGCTCTTTCTACTGACAAAAAAGTGGTGCTATTCAATTAGCACACAAAATATAACAAGTTTCTTCATGATGTTAAATTATTGATCACTAGGATAAAGTTACATTAAGGCAAGCACATACTTTGATCAGAATTTAAATAATATGAGATTTACAGTACCAGAAGAAGGTGGCCGCTGATTCTTTTGGGATTGCAAATTTGGAGTTTCAGCGCACAAAAGATCATAAAGGCAACATCCTGACCCTACAGCTGAAACATTTCTTTCATCAGTTAGCCTACCAATAATTGGAAACAAGATGATACTTCACAGGAAGTAACTTCCAGTTTTGCATAATCTCAATAACCTGAATCAGAAAGCTCACATGAATATTAAGAAATGAAAAATGAACTGTGTCCTTTAGTTGGCAACCATTATTCTTGAACCAACATTTTAGAGATAACACTAACTCTTTTTTTCTTTTTTCTCAAAAGTCAACTTTACAAGCTTACAATTATTAAAGGAAGGAGAGACTCGTGACTCCAAAATTTGCTGATCACGTTCACATCCTGATTCTAACTTGAATTAATTTCCGGTTTAAATGAGAAAAGTTGCACGTTATGGTTTCTCAATTGTTGTGAGGCCTCCAGGGCCCTACCCCCCCAACTCACATTCATGTCAAGACCCTATTGTCCCTATAAAATGACAAGACAGGGATTGATTGAAACATGTATATGTATGTCATAATCCATACATACGGCACACCAGTTCTTTTCCCTGACATTAAAAGGTTTAAAATACTGATTATCTACCGGCGAAAAAGAAATCTCTAAGTTCCAGTTACTTTTGACTTAAAAGTCTCATTACTTATTCAACCTTTGATGTTACCAGAGGGTGCAATAACTATATCCTATCAACTCGAATTAGAAGTAGAAATGGGTCTTCTCATGGAAACCAGACGTTTGCGGTGAATAATCAATCAGCACATGTTTCTGCTAACATTCCTAATTTTAAAAGAAAAAGTTGTCCACGTATAGAAAAAAGTTGTCCAAATATTCTATAGCCTCAGAGTAAGAATATAGAAAGGGGGCTTTTCATAACCAGATTTTTTATGCAAATAATTAATCAACGCGTGATTCCATGAATATCGTTAAGGAGCAAAACAATTATCCAAACAATCTATAAAGACTCAAAATTTATTTTACAAAAAGAAGGGGAAATGAACAAGTGAGTCCAGCAAATGTTGTTCCATTCTTCTGCAAGAAGAAAAGCAGAAGGAAATAGAAAGTTTCAACCTGAGACACCATTGAGCTCAACATTATTATGATGCCGTAAAGACATCTTCTGCCTCCAATATTTCAATCCCCAAATCAAGAAATGACGCTACAATCTGAGAACAGCCATTGACCCGCTAGTTCTCTGCATGTAATTATAACAACCATGCTCAGCACAAAAAAAGGATGAAGCCATCAAGATGTAATCTTTTGATTTGTTCATCTTTGCAGAGAATAATATACTGTTCAAAATAGGAGTAAGAAAAATAAACAAACCAGGGCGCAGTCGTTGCAATGAGAGGCCCAAAACAGGTAGGAAAAGTAATAGTTCTCAGCCGAAAACCTTACAAATCAGATTACACCCTTATCCTCTCGAGGAGACAACGGCCCCTTGTCTTCTGTAAATCAAAGCTTTCTTAAAAGGTTTCTGGGTTGGCGGGGGAAGATTAAAATATCATACAAGTTAGTTGGAAAGCCAGAGAATATTAATGGTCTGTGAGGGAATTGGTTTTCGAAAACCGTTGAAGTTGAAAGCTGAAACTTCGAGAAAACAGCAATGAGAAAGAAGAAAAAGGGAGATTCAACGGAGAGTGCAAGAAAGATTCAGAAAACTAAAAGACAGGTCTGATTCGGATAATGTGCAAACGATTCTATTCTGACAAATATCGTAAATTTTGTTCGAAAATGTGTAAATGTGAATCATTAGGCATCAAAAGTCATCGAATTTTTGGAAATGAAGCTCATTTCTGATAAATGATTGCCTGTCGACAAACCAACATTCAAGTATTCAACCTTCACGAGCGAAACGCGCTCAAAGAGCGCGTGCTTTTCTTGTGGGCTGAGTTGGTCTGATTTTCTCAAATAAAAACCTCATTAATTGTCCCTATTAATTTTCGGCCAAAAAGCATTGTCCTGTTTTATTATACTCCTCCGGTCCTAATTATAAGACCCAATTGACTTATTTGAAGAGATTAAGGAAGTAAGTTAAGTTGGTTATTTACAATAAATAAGTGTTGTTATTCCTAAAATATCCTTACTAATTAAGTATATTGGCTAAAACTATCATTATTAGAAGGATTATCTTAGAAAAAAATGCATAAATATAAAAGAAAAAATGGATTGGATCTTATAATTAGGACCAAATAAAAATTCAAATTGGGTCTTATAATAAGGACCGGAGGAGTATTATCTTTAATCATATCTGTCAATTTATTTTTAATACAGGTAAAAAATTTATTTTTAATAGATTAATTGAATATTATTATCTTATTGGCAAAAACAAATTGATATAACAACTTTTCACATATAGAGGTAAAATAATACTCCTTCTTTTCTAAATATAAAAGTTAGTTATAAATATAAAATTTTAATTCATTTTATCTTTTATATATATGATTTTTATTCAAATTGTAAGTTAATAGATAATTTAATATTACACGGGATTATTTTAAGAAGATAATATCATAGTTTTTAAAATTAAATGATTTATTTAGTTTTTAACCTATTCAAATTAATTAAATATTTTTATTAAAGATAGAAGGAATAGAATAAAAAATATAATTGAAATTGATCAATGAGAAGGAAAACAAATAAGTAAAAAGTACACAAAAATTCCAACAATTAAAATTAATATATTTTGAAGCAAATATCGCAATATTGGTTCCACTGAAAAACCAACAAAGGTAAAAAGAAATATCGCGTGTTGGATGTGGAGGCTACGCGGACGTTGACGCTGATGTGCGGAGCGGTATTGCGTGACGCGGCATCATTGAGGTCAAGAGTTATGTGGACCGCACTTGCCCAACTGCCGATATTCCCACTATGTCTCGGGCGCTATATTCTCTTTTTGTAGGCACACTTTGACTTCATATTTTTGGGATTATTATATCAAAGTCATTGTTTTTAAAAAGATGGCAATAACGGTCAAGACTAAAGTAAATATATCTATTATTATAAAATAAAAATACTAAAATAGGTTTTAAATTTGAATTTTTAGCAATGTACTACACTTCCAGTTCTTAATATAAGAGCTCGTTTGCTTTTTATTTTAATTCTAAATATAAGACTCCAATGTATTTTGTCTATCATATTTATCTACTTTTTTTTCCTAAGATAGTCATTGTAATAATAGTAGTTTACTAATACACTTGATTAGTAAGAATATTTTAGAAAAAAATGTATTTATTACAAATAACTAACTTTACATACTTCCTTAATCTACTCAAATAGTCCCTTACAACGTAGCGAAATAAGATTCGAATCCCTACTAGGAGAGATCCACATTTAGTGCCAAACAGTATCTTGAAGAGGATTGCCTCTAATGGAATGATACCTATGCTTTAGCCAAAAAAAATCTATTCAAATTAATCAATTAGCTCTTATATTAAGGACAAGAGGTAATATCTGTAATTGAAAATGTAAGAATTTATGTAAAATATGATGTGTTGATGATTGATTATATTTAATGAGATTGCAGTCTCTAAAGCAAAGGAAGTCAAGTAGTAGAGGAGAACCACTCCTGGTCCTTGCCTCATGCACGGCTGTACTCTAAACGCAATGCCTATTCAAAATGAACTTAAGCAAATAATTTGCCTTGATAAATGACGATTATAAATAAAATAAGCATTTCAAAAAATTAATATGAACAATATCCAAGTGTAAGTCAAATCCCGTTACTATTCATAAGCTTTTATTATTATGTCTCATTTATAGAGACACCACCATTAAGTTCCCAATATCTAACAGGAAGGAAAAAAAATGGTCAAGATGAAATAATCAAGGTTCCCTTTTTTCTCTTCCGGTTAAACCTGCAATTTATTAATAGAAAGAATGTCAGTTACTTGCCAGAGGCAAGCATAAAATATCAAGAGTAGAAAGGTGAACTAAATTAGAAGAAACAATAATACTACTTCTCATCCTTAATATAAAAATTTGTTGACTAATTTGAATAGAGTAAAAAAAAACTAATTAAGTTAGTTATTTATAATAAATATATGTTGTTTTTCTTAAAATATTATTACTAATCTAATGTATTAACTAGAATTATCATTATTACAAAAACTAACTTAAAGAAATAAATAAATAAATATGAAAAACAAAATATATTTGTTGACTAATTTGAATAGAGTAAAAAAAAACTAATTAAGTAAGTTATTTATAATAATATATGTTTTTTCTTAAAATATTATTACTAATCTAATGTATTAACTAGAATTATCATTATTACAAAAACTAACTTAAAGAAATAAATAAATAAATATGAAAAACAAAATAAATTTAAATCTTTTATTTAGAACTACTATTACTACATAACTAAGAACTAAAAAGAGCCAAATCAGACTTGATATGTTTGGAGGATTGTTGGAGAAAGTCACCCTTTGAAAGCGCCTCATTTTAAAGCAAACCATGATCTTTGTGACTCCTTTATTAGCCCAGAGCAAGTTTTCTCCAAGCCGCAATGGCCCTTCATGTGTATATGCGTGTGTGCGTGTGCCCGGACTGTATGCACCATCTGAAACTGAAAAATATTTCCTTTTCCAGAACAACATCAATAAAATAAGAAAAACTTGACGCTTCGTTTTGCTTTTATTGAACCACACCTTCCATCCCTTGCTGCAGTATGTGCTAGTAGTTACAGTGGACGAGACCTAGCTTCACTTCCGAGAAAGTTATAGGCAGATTTCAAGTGATCTGTACGGACTTGGATCTCAGAAAGACCTTGCCGGCAGAGGTTGTAGATCCTTGATGAATGACCTTACTTCAACTTTTTCCCAGATGCAGTTATATCCAACATGGAACAATGTTATATCAACCGAACTCAATCTTTGACAAGTCATAACATGTCCCAGTCACGATGTAGAGTTCTTTTTTTTTTTTTGGGGGGGGGGGGATGCAGGGAACCTTACATGAATGTATGAGTGAATTTGATTGTTTTAAATTAAAAATAAAACTTCTACACTTGAAGAACGTCTATTTCAGACAAAAACCAATTCTAAACCACGCAACATCAAACGAAAATATTAACTCGCTTGGGTTTCAGCTTTGAGGCCATTGTCTGCTGAACCAGTTGAGCTCGGTGAGCTTTCTGATGATTTTACTATATTTTTAATGTATCTCCAGCAGCGCTTGTGAACCCCACTAATTTTCTTTGGAGCGTCTGCTGCAGGCAAGCCTGCAATACGTTGTAAAAAATTAGAAAAGCCCCATGACAGTAGGAAAATATCTTGAACAAACCCCCATTTTTAAACCCATAAACAACAGAAATAAACTAAACTAAGCATCAACTCAATCATTTAGACAACATAAATAAATTTAAGATTGCATCCAGATGAATAGTTCATAAGAAGTATCCCAGGTGAGAATGCAACAGCATATAATAAAAAAGAATATTAGCCAAAAGGAATTCAAAAGTTTAATGACTATCCATTTAGTTATTTCTCTGTGGTTTATATATTCCACTAAAGTGATTGAGAAGGGATTTTGCTAATGCTTCAGATTGCAAAGACTTCAACCGAGTAACGAATGCCATACAACGCAGAAAATATATAAGGAGCAAAGGTTATCACAAAAAATAATGTTGTAAAAAAATCAGAACCAACAGCCACCAAAATTGCGAAAGAAACTCAATAAATGCATCCTTGGTATTCCATCTGGAATGCCTTATGCCTAAATGTAATTCCTCGCCAAGAAAGTGCCTTTGGAGCTAATTCAGTTTCTAGGCTGGAGAACATGTTTGGACAGTCCCAAATTTGCATTTTCAAGCAACATAATTGCTCCCCCCCGCCGGCTTGGGGGCCCTGCTGCCCCCCGGGGGGGGAGTTTATCTGTGAACGCATTCTTACATGTCCACAGAGCTTAGAAACTCCCCCCTCCTAACAATATCTCCGTCTGAGAAAAAACAGTGGTAGAGTCATAACCACGAACAATGAGGCAATTCATCCATCAGAAAGGCAAACTCAAACTATAGTCTCATTGAAGAATACCACTACAACGCATGATCACTACCTTCAACGATTGTCAGGATATAATAGTTCAAGTACTCTTGCATTGAAATCTTTCGCAGTATGATGAGCAAAACTAAAATGACAATAGGGAAAAACAAAAGGAGGGAGGGGCAGAACAAAAGAAACCGCAGGATGATAAGAAACTTTAGACTGACCATTTTTATGAACTATTCCCCATGCCTTGCCATGCCTTCCATCCTGAAAATTCGGTAGACGCATAAAATGTAAGTCTTTAACAAACTAATGCAAAAGCGCATTTGCTGGATAAGGTTAAATTCAAAGGGACAAAAAGACCTTGTAGAGATTGATTTTGGTGATTTCATAAGAGACGTCAGTCCAGTGAGTCTTGGCCATGTGGTATCCGATTCCCCAGCTCGGCAAGAACTGAGCGACCTCGAACAGGTTCTTCTTCTTTCTTCTCTTGGACTTCTTAGAGTTGGTAGGGTTTTGAGAAGCGGAAGAAGCCGAAGACGAAGCAGAGCTGAAGTTTCTGAAGAGACTGAATGAATATCTGAATAAATGAGAGCCTCGAAGAGGCAGGGCTGTGCTAGCGAGAGCAGTCCCCATTCCAGTACTTCCCTTTCTGACAAACTAAAATCACTCCTCTCCTCCTCTTGGCAGCTGCTACCCAATCCAATGATGCTCTAATCTTGAAAAACAATAATCTTGTTACAATGCTATGAGTAATGCTCTAAGTTAGTAACAACTGGCAATGCATCAAT